GTAATTTGACAATCAGAAATTACTTAGCACAACGCTTGGCAACGTTGCGTCTTGTAGGTTAGGTATAGAAAAAGCGCGAAATTTGAAAGTAATATAAGTAGTATATACATATAATAGTATATTCTTCAAAGATTCATAATAATGAATAATAATTTGAATTTGCTTATAAAAAATTAAGATTTTTAAAATAATAAATTATTATTATTATTATTTAACGAAAATAAATCAAACAATAGCAGACGACACGAAACGGAACGGGGGAAATATAATCCAACGTTGCCAAGCGTTGAGCTAGTACTACGTGATACAAATGAAAACTTAAATGGGCATTGATTTGACTGACGTTGGAGGGAGAGAACTTCCTTAATCAAACAATATTCATGTTCTTGATAGATTTTATTAAACAATTGGATTTTAAATGTGCTTTCGTTTTATTAGTTTAAGGTTAATGTAAGATCGTTTTGTTAAAAACAAAATAAAAAAATTATTTCTCAAAATTTTATATTTTTTCTGTCATATTATATACATATATCTGCTGATATAAATTATTTAGAAAAAAAATATTTAAAAATAGAGAAATATGTTACTGATAAAAAGGTTTCAAGATAAAGTTGACTTTTAATACGTTAAATAAAAAATAACAATATATGTATATTTAACAACATTTAAACATAAAGAAATGAAATTATTATTTGATTTTTAACTTATAATTTATGTATAAACGAATTAAAATTTTAAGACTTAAACGAATGGATAAACGTAAACATTTTTGCACTTATTATTATTTAATCACTATAAATAATATTCTATCGATAATGTTAACCAGTACCTATAAAAATCTATTTATGCTTATAAATTAATTTTTATTAAATTATTTTGTTACATTTGATGTCATTTCATTTATTAATACACGGTAATAACAATAAAATAATTATACTGGGGTTGCAATCAAAACAAATAAGCATCGTCAAACGGATACGGAGCCCACTACGAGACACGCACGAGGGTCGATTGATGCTGATTCTACACTCACCTAAAACTGCGCGAGCGGTCCGCATTTGCGTTACGTTTTTTATATACATAGATATAGTTGAATATGGGAAGCGTGACGGAAAAGCGGACCGCTCGCTCAGTTTCAAGTGAGTGTAGAATCAGCATCAATCGTGTCTCGTAAAGGCCTTTCTCCAATAGGATCCTAAACTCTTGCGTTGCGTATGCATTGCGTCGGTTGCTATTGGCAACCAATGCTAAAATCAACGCGTCAGTCACGCAACGCAAAAGTTTAGGTTCCTATTGGAGAAAGGCCTTAAAGCGAGTGAGTACGGAAGCCTGTGCGGCTCACGAGCGTCTCGGACGCAAGTGGCGGTGTTTCGTACCACAAGTGGAACTTGTGCCACTCGTGGAAAGTGGATTTTTTGAAGGGTCATTCACAAATATGACAATTCCGTTGGATCCTGTTGCTATCTATTTCGTCAGTGCTTTTCATTTCAATTTCATGTGAAGAAGAAGAAATGAATTTTATAAGATATTAGTAATATTAGCATATTAGTAAATGTCATCGAACAAACTTTTTATAGTTCACACATAAATACTCCTTCCAAACGTAAATATACATATTAATAAACTAAGGATTCCACTAAGAATTAAGGGGAAGTTTTTTCTTAGTTTTTTTAATTTTTCTTAGTTTAGAATAAAAATAAGATTTTTTGGTTATATTGTCATTTTTTAATTTAAAATACATGAAGAGGATTTTATTTTTTAAAATCAAAAGTATATTTTTATGAATATTTAAGATTAATAAAGATGTCAATATCATTTGTTTACACTGAAATGTAATCTTTTACATGTATTTTCAATTAAAAAATAACAAATTCATTTTTATTCAAAAACATTAAACGGACTTGCCCGGATGAAATTATACTTGAAATGAAAAGCACTGACGAAATAGACGGCAACAGGATCCAACGGAATTGTCATATTTGTGAATGACCCTTCAAAAAATCCACTTTCCACAAGTGGCACGAACAAACGAACTTGCCACAAGTTGGACGGACTTCCACTTGTGGTACGAAACACCGCCACTTGCGTCCGAGACGCTCGTGAGCCGTTCAGGCTTCCGTACGAACTACCTATTCTTTCTTTCTTTTGTTTAAATGGCCTCTTGTATTAAGGCCAAGAAGACTAGAACCAGGAGGTGAAACTTCCACGCTTTACCGCAGTGAGTAGTGGCATGGTAAGCGTGCACACGGTGGGCGTGTCGTTTAAGTTCGTGCACTGCTAATAGAACGAATTTACGAATTCTGCGCATACTATCCATGTAGGTTTTGAAGGGGAAATTTCGTAGCAAGCAGCTGCAAATGTTTGCGTCTGCTTGGTTAGGTAAATTATATAATAATAAAATGCTTGGTCTGTCCTTCTGTCCTAACTTGAAGTTGGCCTTTTCTGATTTCACGTGTTTTTTTGAATAGTAATCTTATGACGTGTCAAATTTTGACAATTCTTTTTCTTATTTTTGCCAAAGTTGTATAATTGTGTTTCCAAATTTCGGAATAAGTTTCTTTAAAATTCCAAATTCGAAAATTCAATTCACGAAGCTGAAGTACACAACGTTTACCAACGAAATTCTTTTTAAAGTTGTATATTGATTCAAAAATTGTACAAAAAATGTATGATGAGAAAAAAGATGCGCCAGGAAATTTCGTATAAGATAGTAATTTGAAAAACATTTATTTTTAAAAATTAATTTTTAAGGTACCAGGTGCCAACGAATACCTATTAAATATTAATTATAAAAACACAGGCCTCGAATCAACTTAAAGACACAAAAAAGTCGTTTTAGTCGATTTATATTCCAAAAAAAAGTGGATTTGTTTTTTATTTTAACAAAAATATTTTACAGATTTTTAAATAAAATTTTTTTTTTTTTTTAATAATAATCCTTTTCGAAGGGTTAAAATTGAAATTTTTAGAAATAATTAAATTTCAAAGATATTGTTAATTTTCAAACAATTATTAAATTTTCCAGAACTGAAAATAATTTATCAAACAATTTTTGGAAAACATTTTTTAAATTTAATTGAATTTTCAAAGATTTAAAATTGAGATTTTTGAAATTAATTGAAACTTTAAGTGTTTTGTAATTAAAATTTTAGATGATTTCACTAAAAATTTATTAGAAAATGCGGACAAAATACAATAATTTGAAAAATGGTTTCAGATAGTTGAATTTTCAAAGAATATTATTAAAATAGTTAAAAATAATTGAATTTCCTTAGAGTTATAATTGAAATTATTAAATTTCAAAAAAAAAAAAATTTCGATGTAAAATTTTAGAAATAATTAAATTTTAGATGCTTTTAAATTCAAATTATTGAAAATTCAATTAATTTTGAATTCCAATTTTTGAGAATAATGAAATTATATTTGATTTTAAATTGAAAATTTTTGGGAAATAATTGAATTTTAATTGAAATTTTGGATAATAATTTAATTGAAGTTCATTTTTGATTGAAAATTTGGATAATTAATTTTGAATAGAAATTTTAGAAAATAATTGAACTTTATTTCATTTTAAATTGAAAACTTGGTAAATAATTAAATTTTAATTGAAATTTTGGATAATAATTTAATTTAAGTTCATTTTTGATTGAAAATTTGGTTAATTAATTTTGAATAGAAATTTTAGAAAATAATTGAATTTTATTTCATTTTAAATTGAAAACTTGGTAAATAATTAAATTTTAAATTGAAAATTTTGTATAATTATTGGATTTTTAATTGATTTTGAATTAAAATTTTGGGTAATAATTGAATTTTAGTTTATTTTGAATTGAAATTTTTAAAAAATAATTAAATTTTATTGTGATATTTTTTTTTAAAAATTATAAACAATTGTTAAATTTCATAAAAATTTTAATTGAAAAATAATTTTGATATAATTGAATTTGTGATGTATTTCATTAAAATTATTAAAATTAATTAATGTAGTGAAGAATCATTTTAGTTTAAAATTTGTTAAATAATTTAATTGAAGAAGATATGATGAAGATCTACATTTTATACTAGAAAAATGTATTTTATTTACATTTTTTTCAAATGTTAAAAAAAATGTCGCATTTTATTAAAAGAAGTCGATAAAAGTCTTATTTTTGAAAAAAATCAGAAAAAGTCGTATAATCCGAGGCTTGTAAACATATAATTTTCATTATTATCATTTAATATGTAATAATATTCTAATAAATTAAATTATTATTGATAATATTAATCTTTAATTTCTTTATAACAAACAATTAAACACTCAATTTGGCGCGCTTGCGCGCGTTTAATTTTGCTAGTTACATATAATTAATTAAATATAATCGCATCAAAAAATTTATGGGTAAACCATTTGCCATAACCGCATAAACAGAAACTTAAAAACAGCGTCTGCTACATTTCAAATATCAGTGTCAAGAAAGTATGCGCAGAACACTGAAATTCGTCTGAATAGCAATGCACGAACGATAAGCCACGCCTTCTAGTGGCTTGTTTGTCACGCCGCATCTTTACAACGGAGTTTCCCCTCCTGGTTCTAGTCTTCTTGATTAAGGCCTTTCTCCAATAGGAACCTAAACTTTTGCGTTGCGTGACTGACGCGTTGATTTTAGCATTTGTTGCCAATAGCAACCGACGCAATGCATACGCAACGCAAGAGTTTAGGATCCTATTGGAGAAAGGCCTTTAACAAATAGCCAGTACTTACGCACTACCTATGCAGAGAGAGTCTTCCTTCATTGCCCTCAATTTCGCCGACATCCCCACCACCTGAGTTACTTCTCCTGTCTCTAGTCTTCTTGAGAAAAGGACACAAATATATCTCTGTTCTTTTTCAACTCATGCACATCGTTCGTGAAACTATTATGCGTGGACCCATATGATTTGCTATGACAACACGTGGGTTAGAAAAGGATAAAAAGTGTAGGTATATGCAGCCAAGACTGCACTGTGAGTTGAGTGTATGTATGTAACAGAAAAACACCAGTCTGTTTTCTTTTAATCAATAATTATAATAAAAGAGTGAATTTTTGTATGCAAATAGTTGGTGTATAATCAGACTCCAGAATATCATTTCAGAATATATAGAGAATAGGAGAGTGTAGGATAGAAAATAAAGAACTATATATATATATATATATAGGCATGTATGTATTTAATTTATGTGTATGCATGTTATGTATCAGAATAAAAAGTGTAAATTTTGCAGGCTGCGAAGAAAGATTAAATGATGTCATGAGTATTCACTACGTGAATACTCATATTAGGTTTGTTGTAATATATTTTTAAACCAAAATATGACGAATGACGTGAAAACTATATAAAGTGTTAGGAGATAAAATCAAAAGTTATTTAATAATCTTTCTGCATGTTAAGTGAATTTTATTTTTTAACATAAATACAAAGGAATATTTTTTCATCATAAAAGTTGCAATTTCATTCCGTAGAATCTTGTACGAATTATTTTTTTCATAGACTTGTTCCAGGTTTTGGTAAAACTAGTTCTTTAAAAATCATACATTCATTTTATAAATCTATTATATTCAGGAAGTAAATTATAGTTTATAAGTAAATTTTTTATTTTTCGATATGTTGTCTTTAATCTTGTGATGATAAAATGCGACACACATTTTCATTATCAAAGGGTTAAAACATTTTTCAAATAAACGTATGTAGTACACATTGCAATTTCAGAGGGATATTTTATGTTGACAAAATTTGTATTGGGACTGATGACTAGTCAATCAATTTTGATATATGTTTTTGTAGTTATATATCTTGAACGTGATTCTCCAAAAAATATTTAACTTCGGAAAGGGAACATCGAGTTAAACCTGAGACTCCGAGGTGGTCATAACAATAGTGTCAGATGAATGAAATGAGGTAAGCAATTGTTTTTAGTTTCTTTTTTTAATAAATAATTTTTGTGTTTTTGCGTTTGAAAAAAATAATGCCAAAGAGATGAATGTAAATTTAGAATATTTTCTTTTTTAATGTTTGTCAAGAAACAATAAAAATTCAAAACATGTTTTATTCATTAAAGTGCCGTCTAAAATTAATAATTTTCAAATGCAATGATACTGTAACATTGGACAATTTGTTTAGAACAAAAAAAGTAAGCGTCGGCAAGAGACGAGAATTTATTAATTAGATAAATGAACATAAATACATGTTTAATCTAAGGCAATTTTTTTAATATATATATAAATTGGCCTTTTTCAGGTGCACAGACAGACGATATTATTTATTATAAGTTTATAAAGAGTTATACAATATATGCTCTTTATATTCAATTTGAATAATTTTCTAAGTCGTATTCATTACTTTCCGGTATCAATCTTATTACACACTATGCTTGTCACATATATAATAAGTAGAATAGTCAGGTGTTTTATTATTTTTGTGTCTTAAATGAAAAAAAATATTGCATAATTTTTTCTACAGTAAATTTAAAAATTTGCAATTGCATAATTTTTCAGAATTATTTCTAACATTTGCTCTTCATCTTTTTCAAAGAAGGTTAAATTTTTTTTTATATTTATATTTCGAAAGGAAAAACCACTGGCACGTTGAAGTACGAATTTTCTGTCTTCATTTCATAAACAATTTGTTTCTTCAAAGAGATATGGAGTCTTTAAAATGAATGCAATGTGAATATTAAAACTTATATAGAAATTTCAGGTCCGTTAACCTGGCTTGTCCACATTGTCCGATCTGGATAAAACCTATTTGAAAATTAAGGGCTAATTTAAGGCTAATTTAATGCCCTAATGCCGAATTTAATGCTCGGCATTTTCTTTAAAAAACTTGTGGACAAGCTAGCTTAACATTAAGGTGGCTTGTCCACACAATGAAGGAGCACTCGTAGGAAGGCCTACTATAGGTCAAAATTTAGGGCTTTTTTAAGGCTCTTGAATGCTCTATTGTACAATTTAATGCCGGCATTATTTCGCGAATTATTTGCAAAAATTCAATTTTTACGTTATCTCAGTTTGTCCACATCATGAAGGAACACTCGTAGAAAGGTCTACTATGGATCAAAATTTAAGGCTTTTTTAAGGCACCTCAATGCTCTATTGCCGAATTTAATGCCGGCATTATTTCACGAATTATTTGCAAAAATTATGTTTAACATTACAAAAGTTTGTCCAAAAAACGAAGGAATACTCCTAGGAAGGTCTACTATAGGTCAAAATTTAGGGCTTTTTTAAGGCTCCGCAATGCTCTATTGACGAATTTAATGCCGGCATAATTTCGCGAATTATTTGCAAAAATTCAATTTTTACGTTATCTTAGTTTGTCGTTTACTAATTGAATTAGTAACAGTTATGACTAATTTGTAGTAAAAAAAACTACTAATTGCTAGTAGAAAACTACTAATTTATGGAGTAAGTCGTATTTTTTACTATTTCAAATTAGTAAGCCGATTTACGCTATGAATTAGTAGTTTTTTTTTACTAAAAATTAGTAAAAACTGTTACTAATTCAATTGGTAAACGAATACGCACTCTTTCATTAGTAGAAAACTACTAATTCAGATTTAGAGAGTAGGGTTCTCAACTAAGACTATTTAAATTTTTCAAAAACCACCCCTAAGTTCAAAAAAACATCTCCAATTATTAAAACTTGATTTAACCTAACAATAATCATATAGGACATAGGAGCTAAATTAGTGTTCTTCAATAGCACTAAATTAACTTTTTAAAAATGCACTCCCAAGCACCCCAACCATGTAACTGATAGAAAACCAAACACAAAACCTACCCTCAAATAATTCAAACTTAATATTTTCAAAAACAAGTACTTATGAATTTAGGGCTAATTTAGGGGTCTTAAATAGCACTAAATTAGATGTTCAAAAATGATCCACCAATTTCAAAAACTACCCCTGAGTACTTCAAACTCAGTTTTTACAAAAAACAAGTACTTTGGAATATAGGGCTAATTTAAGGCTCATTATTATAGCACTAAATTGCATTTTCACAAACGATCCACCAACTTCAAAAACTTCGCCTCAGTAGTTCAAAAATTTCTTTTACATTTTTTTATCGAAAATAACGATTTTTAATAAACAAATTAATTTTTTTAAACTGTGAAAGCTATTATTTTTACTTTTTTTTATTTTTACATACCTGAAAATAGTAAGAATATTTTGCAAAAAAAAATTTCGAGTAGTCATCCAAAAAGGGTAATCAGGTTATCAGTAAAACATTTTACAAAGTATTTTAGTAGTATTTCCATGTATGTAAATATAAAAAAAGTAAAACAACGGGTCTAAAGTTAAAAAAAATAATTTGTTTATAAAAAAATCGTTATTTTCTATAAAAAAATTCAAAACTAAATTTTTGAACTAGTCGGGGGTAGTTTTTAGGATTGGTAGATCATTTTTAAACAGCCAATACAGTGCTATTTACGAGCAATAAATAAGCAAGTAATTCTTAAGTGCTTATTTAAAAAAAAAATCGTTTAGACTTGCTAAGATAGTGTTAAATTTGGCATAAAAGCATTTTAGAGTTTTAAAAAAGCCCTAAATTTTGACACCTAGAAGACCTTCCTAAGAGTATTCCTTCAATGTGTGGACAAACTAATATAGCGATAAATTTGAATTTTTGCAATAATTTCGCGAAATTATGCCGGCACTAAATTTGGCAATAGAGCATTAAGGAGCTTTAAAAAAGCCCTAAATTTTGACCTACAGTAGACTTTCCTGTGAGTGCTCCTTCATTGTGTGGACAAACTGATATCAAGTAAAAATTAAATTTTTGCAAATATTTGGCGAAATTATGCCGGCATTAAATTCGTCAATAGAGCATTGCGGAGCATTAAAAAAACCCTAAATTTTGACCTATAGTAGACCTTCCTACGACTAATCCTTTGTTTTTGGACAAACTGTTGTAATGTAAAACTTGAATTTTTGCAAATAATTCGTGAAATAATGCCGGCATTAAATTCGGCAATGGAGCATTGAGGTGCCTTAAAAAAGCCTTAAATTTTGATCCATAGTAGACCTTTCTACGAGTGTTCCTTCATGATGTGGACAAACTGAGATAACGTAAAAATTGAATTTTTGCAAATAATTCGCGAAATAATGCCGGCATTAAATTGTACAATAGAGCATTCAAGAGCCTTAAAAAAGCCCTAAATTTTGACCTATAGTAGGCCTTCCTACGAGTGCTCCTTCATTGTGTGGACAAGCCACCTTAATGTTAAGCTAGCTTGTCCACAAGTTTTTTAAAGAAAATGCCGAGCATTAAATTCGGCATTAGGGCATTAAATTAGCCTTAAATTAGCCCTTAATTTTCAAATAGGTTTTATCCAGATCGGACAATGTGGACAAGCCAGGTTAACGGACCTGGAAATTTCATAACTAAACAACTCCAAAATTCACGTTTTTAAATATTTTTGAACATTTAATCACCAATAAGTTTGTAATATTTGATAGTAAAAGATTCACAAATAGATCAATTCATTTGTTTTTAAATATTATATAAGTTAGTTATGATAATTTTAAAGTTAAATAATTTTTTTAACAACAATGCAAGACTTGTTTTTAAAAATTTTTGATTTTTAAAATGTCAATAACACTGCAACAGAATTTAATTTTTTTTTGTTTCTGAAACTGCATTGGGTGATTCTTATATGTTTTTTTTTGACGCTGAACACGAATCCGTAATCAGAATTTCTTCATCACCCTAAGTTTTTAAGAAATTTAACTTAGAAAATTGAAAAAATGCCGTTTTTAGGGTAATTTTTGATTATTTATAACGGCACAAAATTTTTTTTGAAGTTTTCGTGATATGCATTTGAAAGCTAATATCTTCGTCAACAATTTGCAATTTAGAACATTTAAAAATATTTATTTTTGTATGGGGTCAATCCATTATATTTCGACTGAAGTCGTTGCTGACTAATTTTTAAAAATTATAAAACTTTGCAGGAATGATTTTGAAGTTATCAAGATCACGAAATGAAAAGAATTTTTATTAAAAATTGAATTATTTATTGTAAAATATGAATTTAAAGTATATGAGGTGCTGAATACTGTCAATTTTTTAGCCATTAGAAAATATACAAAAAAACAGAATTTATCATAAAAATAAAAAAAAATTATTAGAATTTATTAAGAATGAATAATTTTATCATTATCAATTGATATAATTATTTAAAGATGTTAAATAATATATAAAATATGATTTTCAAGTGCAGCTGTCAAATAACCTAAACCCTTGTCAATATAGCCTAAAAAATACGAAATTTTTAATCCGCTTTATCTTCGAAAATAGCTTCGGAACCAACACGAAATTTTTAGAGTACGTATATTTAGTGTCCATTTAAATAATTTTCGAAACTACATATTTTCTTTTTCATTTTTCTCCAAAAAAGTTATTGACTTTCAAAAATAGTGAAAATGAACAAAGTGGTTATTTTATTTAAAAAATTTTTTATACTTACGAAGAAAAAACAAGAAAAAATTCTAAAAGTTTATGACAAGAAAAGGCTAAAGCCTGCATTGCACGGCATACAAAAAAGCACGTTTTGAGAAAAACGCGTTTAAAGTTTTCGATACAAAATGTAGGGTTTTAACTATTGCACTAAAACCAAGATTTACTATCACTTGCTAATAATGCTTGCTACTGAAAATTAATAAAATTATATTGACAAGAAACCGAAAGAATAGAGAGATCTCGTGCTCATCGTTAACTACATTTGGTATCATCTTAAGTGCTAAACTTATGTATGCTATAGACATTCATACATCTAATTATACATTAGTAATGTAGAATCATGTTCTACAAATAGTAAACTAATTTTTGAAGCAAAAAAAAATTGTAAAAAAATTTTTTTCTACACGAGTGTCCCACCTAATGAACATGAAGAAAATTAATTCCACGCATTAGTTGTTGATTTATAAAAATTTATAAATTTCCGTAAGGCAAAATAATAAATACATAATCCTAACTCGCTATAACTAGGTACTGCTACCATATATGTTCACATACACACAAACACACACTGTTAGAACGTGCGCGCGGAGTTTGTGCGCTTCTCTCTTACAGCAGAGTTCTGGAATTCTTCCGGAATTGTAAACGTAGGTATTCCGATTAAGGCGATTGTAAATATTCCGTCAAAAAAAAGTAATTTCTACGGGAGAAGTTCTAGACTTTTCCAGGAATTTAATTTTATTGATCAGTTTAAACACTTACGGATACAGCTCCGGAATTCTTTCAGAACAGTTAGATAGATTTTACGTAATATTCATGAAAATTTCAGGAATTATGCACAAATCTACGATTTCAGAACAAATTCGAGAATTCTTACGGATTTTTTTTTCCGTGTGTTAGTTGGAACGAATAGCTAAAAACTGATTTTATTTTGAATATTGTTATATATAATATGTATATTTCAAGTCTTGCACGTAAAAATTAAGTGTATATGATGTATTCCACGCCAAATTGTAAGTCCATCTGCAATTGCATCTCCGATTTTTTTGATATTTTTTTTTCTTTTAGTTCTGAGACTACATTCCATGAATTTTTACAAATTTTTTTAGCAAGCTGTTTTCGAGTTATGGAATTTTTAAAATTGGAGAATTTTTATGACTTTTAATTTTTGAATGCTCATAACTTCCTTAAAAATGCATCAATTTTAAAAGTATTTTTTTTTCAAAATGTGTGTTTTTAAACGAACTTTTCAAAAAAAATCAAAAATTTTTTTAAAATGATATTACTATCAAATTTTTGAGTTTTGATGGTAAAAAGTCATTTTTCTCATTTGACGTACTGACCGATTTTTTTCAAAATTTTTTCAAAAAAACTACTTTTTAAGAAAATTTTAGGCCTAGGCCGATAATAGGCAAACGATTTTTACAATATTTTCGGAATTTTTCAAAAATTTTTGAATTTTTTAAAAATATTTTTGGTTTTTTTTTATACTACGTAAGGAAGAGTCGGTAGTGACACGTTTTGTTTTTTTGTCATAGCACTCACATTTTCAAGAACATCAAGTCTGTATATATATCCATAGACAGGTGTGACTCTATACTGCAAATTTAACTTATACAGTTACAGAACAGATATTGGAAAAGAAAGTTATTACCGATTTACGATAATGTCTCGCGACTACCAACATAAAAAATCGTCCGTAGTGGTGAGACACTATCTTAAAATCAGAGTCTTTATCGTTCAAACGTAACAAAAACAAAGGAATCAAAGAGAAAGAGTATAATAATTGATGCCTTTAAATCATAATATTGTTTCATTCAATCATAAAATACAGGCAAATATTTTTTTGATTGTGAGCCGCTAATCCATGTCACAGTTATTAAAAACAAATAAGCTTTTCTTCCTGTTCATCTTTTTCAATTTAAACTATAGTTATGAAAAATATTGTTGACAAAACGTACAAAAATTATATCAAATTCATTAGGACATGTACAATATTATTAGATATAAAAAAGCCACTGCCGACAACAAGTGTCTCGCCAATGCGGAAACAGCATTTTTCGGTAATGATGATGTACAATCCTATGCATCGAACAATAATTCATAGTGCTCTGGAAATTTTGAAGGAAACTTAAATACTAAAGACTCAAAACATTTAACCCTTCAGAAAATTCCGGAAATTTTTATATATTATCACTTATACCGATGGGAAATAAAACTTTTAAAATATCTTGAAACTGTTATTAATAGTATAGCGATATTTCGTACATCAAAAACGTATGTATCATATTGAAAAGTTAAAGCACAATAAAACTTGACTTTCAGACCAGAAGTGCCAGCACAGTCAGTTCAGCTGTCTGAAATATCCTAATGTCTCGCCACACCGGCTGTCTCGCCACTGCGGACAACGCCTTACTATTATGTATTTTGATGCGCTGATTACGAAAATGTATTTTAATAAGATCTATAACTTTTATTTGACCTTTTTTTTTAATTATGCATATTTTACACAATAAACGAAAAAAACCATAAATTCTGGGACTTTTTTGTTTTTCACCATAAAAATCAAATTTTTGGGTATTGTTAGTATGATTTTCGTAATCAGCACATCAAAATACATAAATGTACGTAGTATAAAAAAAACCAAAAATATTTTTAAAATATTCAAAAATTTTTGAAAAATTCCGAAAATATTGTAAAAATTGTTTGCCCATTGTTTTGCCTAGGCTTAAAAGTTTTGTAAAAAGAAGTAGTTTTTTTGAAAAAATTTTGAAAAAAGTCGATCAGTACGTCAAATGAGGAAAATGACTTTTTACCATTAAAACTCAAAAATTTGTTAGTAATATCGTTTTAAAAAAATTTTCGATTTTTTTTTTGAAAAGTTCGTTTGTACACATTTTAAAAAAAAATACTTTTAAAATTGATGCATTTTTGAGGATGTTATGAGCATTCAAAAATTAAAAGTCATGAAAATTCTCCAATTTTTAAAATTCTATAACTCGAAAACGACTTGCTAAAAAAATTTAAAAAAATTCATGGAATCTAGTCTCTGTTAGTACTAAAAGAAAAAAAAAATCGGAGATGCAATTGCAGATAGACTTACACTTTGGCATGGAATACATCATATATATGCAGTTATTTTTTCATGTAAAAGATTTTACTTATTAAAATTTAGACTGTAGTACGTAATAAAATAACACTGTGCGACAAAATTTTAAAAAAGTTTTGTTTGAGTGACTTTTTTTATTGTTTTCCTTAAAACTACATAAAATATGAAAAAAATATTCTTATTTTACCTTCAAAGTACTAATTAAGAGTTTTTGTTTAATGTTAAGTTTTTGCAATTTTTGCAGTTTTCGATGTTTAATTAATCGGTTTTAGCTATTAGTTTACGAATAATAAAATTAATTAATTTGAACATAATTTTTTTTTTAAATTTAGACGAATAAAAAAAATTCACTTACAAAAGACACTTTAGCTTAAAAATGAATATTCTTTTTAATTTTTTTCAGAAGTATCCTCACGCATTAAGTTCCATATATAGTCGCCCATCATAGTGGTCCCATGCACGGTGGTCATGAAGCCAGAAAGTTCCGACCATAAATGACGAGCAAATCGGCAACCGTTGAAGTTTTAAGGTAGGTTTGGTATTACAAATCCGTTTGAATTGATATCCTTGCTGATCGTTTAAGCGAGCTACCGCGAAATTAGTTCCAAATGTTGAAATTTAGAGTTTAATTTTTTATAAAATGCAACCTAACACAAAAGATTGTTATAAATATTAGTATATACATGCTTTTAAATGTATAAATATAAACACCTTAACATATTTGTGTACATAGTGCTTTATACTTATGTACATTGATATTTTATATTATAAATATTTACGAAAATTGACTATATTTTATGAAAATAATTGTTTTTTAAGTTTATATCTTTCTTTATTGTATTATATTATTCTATTATTGTACATCTGTTAATTAATTTCGAATTTCAAAATGCATTATTTATTCAAAAGTAAGTACGCTTACAAGATTTATCAGATTATGGATATTGATATTTTAACATTTTTATGTGTGTACATCCTAAAGCAGGGTTTCTACTAATTTCGTTCAATAAAATTCCCGGTTTTTCATAATTTTTACCGATTTATTTTTTCTTGTCAAATTTAAATTTGATAATTTGTAAATTTTTGCAACAGTTATGAAAATCGATATTTTTTATAAAATTAGAATTTTTGTTTTTACTTTAAATTTTACATAATCCGATGGAGATTTCATTCTAATAAATTAACAACTTCCCAGTCAAAAATCTTACGTGATATGAAGTTGAGTAAAAAGTTGATAGATGTACAATAAAAGAATAATATAATACAATAAAGAAAGATATAACCCGTGTGGAAAAGTGATGTGGGCCCCCAGCGGGGGCCCTTATGGATCGCCCTCATGCCATGAGGGCCGCATATGGATGATCCATAGGGGCCCCTCATGGAAACGACATGCTCATCGATGAGGGCGCCCGCATGGGCGATCCATGAGGGTGCCCCTACGGGCGCCCTTATGGGCCCTCACGTTTGCCCTCATCTTGCCCTCAAGTTTGCCATAATGTTTTTTAATCAATAATATTAATAATAAAAGTTAATTAATAATAAATAAGCTTAAATTATGAATAAATAACATATTTATTTAATAATTATTCAATTTTAAATTAAATTCTTACTCAAATTGAATTTATTAATTAACGTTCCAATTAATTAACTGTCGGATATAATTAAAAGTAATAATAAATTAATTAATTAAAAAATTAAAAAATATGTAATTTATGCATACTATTAACGGATATTTTCATTTTTCAATTAATTCATACATAGAATTAATGATTAAACGTAAATCTGAGAAATAAATAAATCTAACGCATGGGGGGAATCGAACCTACGACCTACGGACTATGAGTCTAACGCTTTACCAACTACGCTACGCACGCTACTTCAAAACGAATGCTAACTTCTTGATGCTATTTAAACTTCAAAAATACCTAACAAAGAAAAGTGCTTAACATCATTTAGTTAAACTTAAGATATTAAATTATATTTTCCAATCAAATGCAATTTATAAAATATATTTAATTATATGCTTTATGATTATTATCATGAATCATCTCAGGTGAATTTTCAAAAAAGTGTAAATATATTTTTATTAAAAACGCGTTTTTCGTTGTTTTGAATCATTGGAAACATTCATTTTTTGTTGATAAAAAAATATTTGATTTTTGGACTTAGAAAATTTTGCTAATCGATCATGAGGGCGATCCATGCGGGCCCCTACGGTGGCCCTCATCTATTTTGCCATAAGTGTGAGTGTTATTTTCAAAAAAGTGTAAATATATTTTTATTAAAAACGCGTTTTTCGTTGTTCTGAATCATTATAAACATTAATTTTTTGGTGATAAAAAAATATTTGATTTTTGGACTTAGAAAATTTTGCTAATCGATCATGAGGGCGATCCATGCGGGGCCCCTACGGTGCCCCTCATGGATTCGCCATATGGATCAGCCCTCATGGGCCCCCGCCGGGGGCCCCGAACTCTTGAGGGCAAGATCGTGGCTTTTTCCACACGGGAAACTTAAAAAACAATTATTTTCATAAAATATAGTCAATTTTCGTAAATATTTATAATATAACTAGCTTTCGGACCCGCCTTTGGCGGTTTCCGAAATCTAGTGGTGCGCCACCGAAAGTATTTCGTAACAACAGTATTTTTTAACAAAACCTTCTATATATTCGAATTTTTTAAAAATTTGAAATCAATAAAAACTTTCAAACATACATATACTGAAAAACTAATATTATTTCTTTGAAATATTTTATTTTAAATCAATAATTTTTACATTGCTCAAAATTTAAAATTTCAAGATTGTTTCCAAGATGCACCACGTGGAGGTAACCACCCAAGTACGAAAATCTACACGGCCCAATACTGGCCCAGTATTGTAAAAATTAAAAAAACTATAATTATTAATTAATTAAATAATTAATTAATTATACATTTATAATATAAGTCCTCACAGAAAGCGCAATTCTTTAAACATTTGAAAAATTTCTAATGGTCGCGAAAAGCGAACTCGCAATCTAACGCATTGAAGTCTAACACGCTAACCACTACACTATACGCGAATATGGGAATTTCAACACAAAAATGTTTTGATAAGCTGCATTTGAAGAAAATTTCAGCCGTTAATGTGACATTACTGGGCCAAGATTCGTTCCAACTTTGGAAAAAATGTCTTGTAAAAATAAATTCAACATTTCAGCCGCCAATCGGCCAATAATGACCCACTAATGGGGCAGAGTTCGTCTCAATTATGGAAAATTAGAATTATCAAGTACTGGTGCCAATATTGGTTCAGAAATTTGACGGAGTTCGGCCAAATTATGGCAAATTGGAGTTACCGAGAATCGCTGCCAATATTAAACCAGTAATGGGACAAATTTATCGCCAGTACTGGCCCAGTAACGTTTGCCGTATTTCGGCAGACATTACTGGGACAATGTTGGGCCGTATTGGCATTTCGCAATTGGGCAATAGTGCATCACAAAATTTTTTCTTTTAAATTTTATTATTTTTATTTTATTTTCTTTTAATGTTTATTTTAATCTGAGACTTTTTTATTTTTCAAATGCAAATAAACATGCTTCAATGTTGACATTTCATATTCAACGTATTCAATGTTTATTTTAATAGTTACGATATCAACATTTTTTGAAACTTTTTTTTATAATTATTATTTAATATTATTTATTATTTTAATTTAATATTATTTTTTTGGTATTTTATAGTACATATCTACACACATTAATAAAATATTTTCATTTTTGCTTACAAAAAAGGAGTAATTAAAATGAGTAATAACAAAAATAAATAACATAAAAACTTTTTAAAAATTTTTATTGCAAATTTTTATTTTCGTATATAATAAATTTTATAATTCTAATAAACAATTGTGAATCAAGGATTATATACGTTAATTTTATGAAATTTTAAATTACAATCAAAAAAATATTAATTTTACAAGTTTGTGAAATTTGAAATCTTTAAAATTCTTTGGATATACCAGTAATTACGTCAAAAATATGTTAAAATGCTGTACAATGGCACTGAAAAAATAGATATATAAAATTTAGTAACAATCTATCAAAAAATGAAAAATTTTAAAGTTTTTGATTTTTAGTATTTTTCAAAAAAGGAACGTATTTCCCGTTCTATTAAATATTTTTGAGTTCTGTAAATTTAGAATTTTAAGTTGGACCTATATACACAAATATGTTTAAGTGTTTATATTTATGCATTTAAAAGCATGTATATACTAATATATATAACAATCTTTTGTGTTAAGTTGCATTTTATAAAATATTAAAGTCTAAAATTCAACCTTTGGGACTGATTTTATGATATCTCGCTTAAACGATTAGCTAGAATTTTAATTCAAACGGATTTGTAATGCCAAACTTACCTTAAAACATCTCCATTTGCAGATTTGCTCGTCATTTTTGGTCGGAACTTTCAGGCTTCCTGACCACCGTGCATGATCCCTGGTAATAAATTCGCTTGAAATTTGCTACTCGGGGGTTTTTAGGGTCGCTGATTACGAAAATAAAGTATAATTTAAAAAATTCAAAATAGCGGATCCAGTATGGCAACAGAAAATTTTTTTTGGTAGCCATATTAGATCCGCCATTTTGAATTTTAAAAAACTGACTTCGGATTCGTAATCAGCGAGCCATAAAACCCTTAAGTAGCAAATCTCAAGGGGATTTATTAGTTTTAAAAAATTTTTGTTTTGAACCCTCTTGCCCTTCTAAAAGGGTGATTTTCACCCTTAGAATCGAAATTTTGCCGTTTTAAAAAAATTTCTTTTCTTTTATACTTCTATGAAATTTTTGTACTTTCATTCAATTTAGTTACTATCACTTGGGTAGTTTTATTTCTGAGAAGGAAAAAGTTGTGTAGCAATGAAAATAAAAGACTAATTCACAAACTTAGTTACAGAATCTAATTAATAGATAGAAAATATGAAAAATAATATAAAACACGAAAAAATCTTTTGTAGTTCTACGACTTTGAAATATCCTAAAATACGTGTTTTTGAGACCTTTAAACGCATAAAAAAAGTAAAAGTGTAGTAATATCAGCAAATCCAGTAAATGGTATTCTTATTTTAATTAGTTTTAGCGAAAAAAAACAAAAAAATTAACTTAAACATTTTTTTGTTGCACAGTATAAATAATTATTAGAATGTATTTAACTTCTATTTCTGTTTTATTTTTATGTAATCCGATACCCAAAACTAATGTTTCCTATAATTTATTTTTATTGTGATTAAATCATTCTTTTTCTGATTTCCTAGCTTAAAGAAAACACAAGTTTTACTATTCTTACAAAACTGATATTAATCTTAAAATATTTTTAAAAAACTTAGTTTTCGAATTAAAAAATTCTACACATATTTCAAGTAATTATTGAAACTTTCATAAACAAAGTTTTTTTTTTATTTTATGTAGACACTTTGAAAGAAAATGGATTTACCAGATTATGGAGGTGGCTGTGGTAGAAGTCCCGAAAGCCCAGAAGTGCATCACTGCTCTTCAACTACACAACCGTTGGGAATATCAGAGGTAAAGGAACGTTCACATATGTCATCTCGCTTTAAGGGATAGGAAAAGGGGCCTTTACTTAACGTAACACAATGTGTTACTCTCATAAAAATTCCTTGACAAGGGGAAGGGGGGTCTAAAATGTGGAAAAATTGCGTGACGTCATATGTGAACATTCCCTAATAAAGGTTTTTATTAAATTTTTGAATAAATAATACGACTTAATAGGTATTTTTAAAAATTACTTTTTAATTTTAAGGGGGCAATCGCAGTTGTAGCGCCAAAAAATAGACCCTTTTTTATGAATTTTTTTCTTGTACACCATTAAATTTTTTCAAGATATCGATTTATTATTTAAAAGTACATATATTGAACATGAATTTTAAAAAAAGTTAAAAATATTAAATATTTTTAAAGTTATATCATGTTAAAGTGATGTCTTTTTAAAAAACATGCTTTGCGGTGACCACGACTATGGAAATCTGGCTCATCTGAAATCAAAAATTCAAACGGATTTATATTTATTGAAAGATTATCTAATCCTTGACGGAGCGATTTAAAAAAAAAATTTTTTGACAAAATGTCGACCTGTCAAAGTTTAACTTTCGATTTTCGTCAAAAAAATTGGTCGTTTTTCAGCTTGAAAAAGAAAAGTTTTGCATAAAAAAAATCCTTCGATCAAGGACTAGATTATTATGTATTGAAAAAGTATGTCACCGACTTCAAAAATGTAGTTTTGAGAAAAACGTGTTTAAAGTTTTAACTTACTTTTACATCTCATTCAATTTTCACCGGATTATCATAAAAATTTGTAGACATATTTCTGAAAACATATACTTTAAGAAAATGCAAAGAAAGAAAAATCGATTTTTTGAAAGTTATAACTGCGATTGCCCTCTTAAGATGCAGAAAATTGAAGTCAGAAATATTTTATTATTTTTTAATACATTTTTATATAATTTAATTCATCACAGAAACATTTTGCACGATAAACTTAATAGTTTTTACGAATTACTAGCAGGATTTTTGTTTCCTAAACAGAATATCCTGAAAAATTATTTAAAAGTTCATTAGAGAGGATGTCAAAGGATTTTTGATGCCACTGATTATGCATTTGATAACATTTAAAAAATTCAAAATGTCGGACAGTTCTAAAAAAAAATTATTAGATTATTATTAGAACCTTTGTACTAAGGTTTTACCAGAATCATCTTAGGTCGCTGCTAACGAATTTAATGACAGATTTTTAAATTTCAAAATAACGGATATAATACGATAGACAATTTGTTTTTAATCCTTAATATACATATACATTTGGATGATCAGAGCAATTTTGATGAAACCTTCTGAATATGTTCCTTTATATTTATATACAAAATGAAAGCTCACAAAGAGTTTTTCAAAAAATTTTAATAAATGTCTCTAATTTAATTCTTTTGTTACTTTTTTAAAAAAGCCATGTAACTATTTCTACCATGCTACTATTTCCAAAAAAATGCCACTAATGACACTGTTTTTGTAAAAAGGTCCTCTGAAGACACTATTTTCTACTCTGATGTTCAATAAGTCAGTAAATGTATGCTTTCTGTACATTTGCAATGAGATCATACTCAGTCATGTAATAGAACTTAAACTTAAATTATTACATTTTTAAGTACATAACATATTTTATTTTAATGATTTAAATAGTTAATATACAAAATAGTTCTTTATAAAATTTAGTTATGTAAATCAACATTATTCAGTTATTACATTTTTAAGGGGAAAAACTCGTGTAAATGCACGTTTTTTCAGGAATTTTTTTTAAAAAGTGGTTAAGTTTATTGAATTAAAGTAAAGCATGCCTTGAAGTACACAATATAAGCTTTATAAAAAAAAATTGTATTAAAAAATATTACAAAATGGAGGCGTTACAGGCGTTTGATCTTGCATCTTTGATTTTGCGCCGTGCAGCCTACAGGTCACAAATCTCGACTAAAATTAAAAATCAAAATTTTTGCCTTTAAAATACGGAAATACGCTTTGCATGACGAAGATAAAACTAAAAAAAATTTTTTTTTGAAAATTTGGGACCATTTTGAAAAAAAATCACTTTTTTTAAATAAATAATGTTCATAAACAATTGTTAACAAATTTTTTCTAAAAAAAGGAGCTCGTCATGCAATAGCCAGTAAGATAAAGAAGATTTGTGGTAAGTTTGATTAAAATCGGTTAAAAATTGGCTGAGTTACATTGCACGGCGCGCGAAAAAACACGTTACCAGAAAAACGCATATAAAGTTTTCGATATATAAAAGTAGTGTTTTAACAATTACCTTGAAGATGTTATGTATTCGAAAATAACTATTGCACTAAAACCAAGATTTACTATCACTTATTTATGGTGTTTACTAATGACAATTAATAAACTTATATAGACAGGAAACCAAAAGAATAGAGGGATCTCGTGTTCATAGTTAACTATGCATTTGGTAGCATCTGAAGTGCTAAACTTATGATTACTATAGACATTCATACATCTAATTATAGATTAGTAATATAGGATCATATTCTACAGATAGTAAACTAATTTTTAAAGAAAAAAAAATAATTGTAAATATATACAAAGGCAAATTTAGAAACATGAGCAACAGATACCACTGGTGTCAGTAGATGTATAATTCTGTTCAACAATTTGTTTTAATTGGTTGTCAGACTTCTATTTTGCGTATTCTGCAGCCGTGAGATTTCACCCTAAAAACCCTTTTGATTATTAAAATCTTTTACGAAAATCTCTAAAGAATTTTTCTCCCTATATTTCTCCCTGTTTAACTAAAATACATAAGTAAAAATTTCTGAACGTTCAGACAAACGAAATATTTTTTTCAATCTATAAATTATTAAAAATTATGACTTGTCTTTCACATCTCTGTTTGATAACGCTCTGGAGAGTATTAATTTAATTGAATTATCTCTGATAGTATCATGTTTATTGTACTTAATTTTTACACTAAAGGTGCGTCTAGACACATGAATTCAGTGACACCTGCTTGACGGACTTATATTAATTTTTTATGTCAGTATTCTAGGCCGCATCTTGATAAATTCTAGACAGCCTACTGTACGATCTTGTACAAAATTTTCAAGTAAGCATTCTAGACAATAACTAGCTAAATTCTAGAAAGGCTACATATCTAAAGAAATAAAGGGAAAACTGTATAAAAACTGCACATGAACTTTGAGCGGCCATTGCAGTTATTTGAGAATAAATTTCCACGACAAACACTGTCTAGCTATAGGCTAACACTGGGACGGCCACGATAAATTTCTACACGGGTTTACATCATTTTGTATATAACAATCGTTGTCTAGTATAGAGAATGCCTCGACAGGCAAGTGACCCATCGCAATTGTATTTTTTATTTTATTAATATCTGTGAACAAATGTGAGGAAATAAATGGATTTTCTGTATTTTTTCTAGCTTTGACTATATGGTTACGAATTAATTTTAGTGAGGCGCATGATTTTTCCCAAAAATTAAAAAGGTCGAAAATTTAATTGTTTCAATTACATTAAGTCGATATTTTATTTGGTCGAACTTCTACATGATCGACATTTTATTAAGTCAATATTTTATTTGGTCGAAATTTTAAATGATGCGGACATTTAAAGTGGTCGACATTTTATTTGATCGAAATTCTAAATAATGGACATTTAAAGTGGTCGACATTTTATTTGGTCGAAATTCTAAATGATCGACATTTTATTTGTTCGATATTCTAAATGAAAGAAATTAGGAGCATCGAATTTTATATCCTTCGAAATTAAATTTGGTCGATATTTTAAAAGCTCGACACTTTTTTAGCTATTCGAGTTTCCTCTCTATGCCCTTAAACAAGTTCGCTAAAATACTCGCAGTTTTTCCATTGTTTGGGGAAAAATCCCATACCAAATCTGACATGCGTACACCAATATCGGGCGGATAAACATAATATAGCAGAGTAATTTGACTTTAACGTCGACCTTTCGTGAATAAAATAAACTTTTCAAGCTAATGAAAGCCTTTTCGGCTTTTTCGATGATTGACATTACATGACTTCTATAATTGAATTTTTCATCTATATATACCCCCAAATATTTTACTTTATCGCAGTACTTTAGTACACTTTGCCGTAGATAATGAGGTCGTCAGCAAAACCTATGGCTCTAATTTTTTGTGATGTATTTATTTCGTATAGTTTTAGCAAATCGCTAATGTAAATATTAAAAAGTAGAGTAGACTGGGGTGAAAAAACCACATTTTACTTTCTAATATGTTAAATCGGTATTACAATTTTTTTTTCGAAATTCAAATTGGTTCTGAAAGTTTAGTTCTTCAGCTTTAAAATCCTGATCAGATAATCTTCGTAATCCATGAAAGGACAAAGTTATATAAGTTTTACCAGAGCACTACAAGTGCAATTTTGCGATTCGGGCAAAATATATTATCAATTTTTTTTCATGTTTTTTCTTTCTTTATATAACAAACTAGCAACTTTGTCGTCCGCAAGCGGCCGACTACGTTGCTAGTGTGCATTAACCATATTTTTTATTCATTTTTTTTCAAAAAAATTTAATATTAGAAATGTAAAAAAAAATTTCTTTATATTGGATCTACCACCCAAGTAGCACGGAATATTCCTTGAATGTCAAGCTGATATCAACCGGGAATATTCTTGTGACATTCAGGCGATATCATGTTGAAAAAGATGCAATTTAGTATTTTGTCATTTGTTTGAATCAGTTTACTGAACAGCCAATGGCGCTGTCGTCGCTAAGTAGTTTCTGTACTACGATTGTTTTATCTATAAAACTGTTTTGTCTCGTGACGAGTGCGCACGGAGAGTGTTTTTTTGCTTTTGTACTATTTTTAATGTTTCTAATAATAAACAAGTTTCATTTCATTTCATTAAAGTGTTTTAATATCTTTTATCAGAATCGCGCTGTCATTATTGGCTCAGATAATTAACATATCATAATGTCCTTTTCACGGGGACATTCCT